AGACGAACTGATTTCTCGAATTTGATCTATGTCGCGTCTCGTCGAGTCCTGTCCGGTGTTTTCTCCAGTTTAGTTCTGATCGGGCAAAATAAACGTTGGTGCTGGAAAAGTAAGGAGTTTTAATTGGACAGAGGGTGCGACGGAAGGACCTTTGGCTAAGGAGTAGGAAACTGTCAAGGAGCCGATTTTTGATAGTCAATGACGTGATTTATAAGCGGTGTCCGTCCGTCGCTTGTTGGGTCTGTCACACGTGGGTCCCATCTGTCGAGTCTGGTACTTGTAAAAATCACACGTGGGTCCCACCTGTCGAGTCTGGTACTTGTAAAAATTCCTAAACTTTCGCCTTTACCTTTACAACTTAATCCGCTAGAACGTCGGTGAGGCACATCTATCCTTCGGAATTGCAGTCGCGATATAAAATATATCGTAAACCGTTAGGTCTGTCAAAAGTGTAAGCCTTGGAATAAAAATCATGTTATAAACACGCTCTCCGGGACGGAACAATAAACAAATTCTATTTACCTATAGTTCCGTATCAAATAATTTTCATAAAAATCGTGCAGACTTGAAAAACCGGACCTGAAAAATATTCAAGAATATCGGAATGAAATCATGCAAAAATATTCACATTCAAAAGAAAGTATCGTATACGTACTTACTCTAACCCTGATCCAATCTTCCTTCGCTCCCTCCAGTAAAAGACTGACGTTCTTTAAAACTTATTCAAATCTCACGGATCACCATTCCACTTTGTAATTTATGTTCCAGGGCTCTCCGTTTCCACGGACTACAGAACGAGTCTTGAATGAAATTGCGAACGTGACGAAATGTTCCCAAACGTATTTGCACCAAAGGAAGGGGATAGATGGTACGATCCTTAGACGTCGATTCCGATGAGGATTGCCCGCAGCACCGTGGACTCGACATCCTGACCGTGAACGAAAGTATTCTGGTTCCTAGTCCCGAATATTTGAAAATAATTTTCCACCGATCCACGGGCATAACCCAGCGTTCACAGAAGTGATCCTTCAGCGGTATCTCCACCTAGACAGACGATTCCCAATGCACCGTTAATGCGAGACTTTTCCCTCGCGAATTCGATGCACGCGTATCACCACAGGCACGAACCGCTGCAGTTTTATCGACACAGAGATGTATCTCTCGCTCCCTCGACAAAGAACGATTCTTGACTTGGTCCCTGGCTCGAACAGAGGTAGAACCTTTCGCAGACATTCGCACGAGATGCCGTACGAAAAGTTTCGCGCGACCGATTTCGCGTCGGGATCCGTCTGAGAACGCAACGCGAGCCAGGAATTCTTAGGGAGCCACCCCCTTATCTCAGACTCAAAGGCGGATACCCGAATCGTGCAAACCTCTCGGTTGATGGAGAATTAAGAAAACTACGCGGAATGCTTGAGCTAAACGAAAAGTGAAGGAGGAACAGACTCGAGTAACGTGGAATCTGTTCCGTTGCCTGAGATAGAAGGAATAGCAGTGAAATTGCAAGTTCTAACAGGAGAATAGAACTACAGCAGACGGACATATTAAAATTCGTCAAAATTCTATGAAAATATACCAAAAGGAAAGGTATGAAAGAAAACAAAAATAATAGATAAATAATAATAATTAATCTCTGGAAGAAAAGTAGCAGAAAGGAAGAAACCTGGAACAACGATTGGTGTCATAGTTTCGAACACGAAACGAACGAAACGTGTGTGACATAAATAGAGTCTATATTAGATTGAGAATGATCTTGTTAGATGTCTATAGATACAGATACAAGGAAAAAGAAGAACATAGAACGAAGATCTAGAATTAGCTATCAGGAAGGTGATAAGAGGAATCACGAGAAAAAGGAACCATAGATGTTATATTTTTAGATACGGGAAGAAGAATAAACGTTGCATCACGAAAGGTAAATATATGCCAAAGATCGATACAGATAGGAAGGCCTGAGGGAATAAAAGAAAATACGAAATCCTAACTCCAATAAACACGTGAAGACTCAAGAGAAGGAAGAAGAAACTGAGGCAACTACTAACGTTGTAATCCTGAACGCAGGTTAGATAAAGTCTACATCGTGCATTCACACTCACGATTGGATTGCAACTCGATTTAAATCGAACAGCTGAAAGAAAGCACAGTGTTTATCCTCAAGAAAGTAGGAAAGAAGGAAGAATAGAAGCAACGACCAATATTATAATTCCCGATACAAGAAAGATGACAAAGGCTACTCCAGACTGAGAATGAATACTCGTTGGAGGTCTATAGAGATAGTAGGATAAGAAGGAAATAAAAGAAGACACACAGAGTTAGTCTTTGGGAAGGTGACAAAAATAGGAGCAAAAGGAAGGAACAAAAGCAACGATTGATGTTACAGTTTTGAATGCGAGGTGAAGACGAGAGGATGAATGCACTTTAGAAACCTATATAGATAAAAAGGCCTAAGGGAATACGCAGAGGAGACACAAAGTGCTGGCTTGCAGGGAGTTAGCGAGAAATCCGAGGAAGAAAAAGGAGGAGCAATAACAGAAACCGATTTTGTGGTTTTGAAAATAAGATAGACGATAAGAACTACATCTTGTAGGGCATCAATGCGTTTTGAAAATCAATCTAACTAAGAGAGAAAGGAAAAGGACAAGAGAAGACCTAGAGTGCTAGTTTCAACGAACCTAGCAGACATAGTCAAGAGAAGGCAGTCTACCAACTAATATTATAATTTTAAACAGGAGACAGATGACGAAGATTATAGTCAGAGAGTGTATACATGCTAGAAATCTACCTATATAAATAAAAGAACAAACAAGGAATAGGATAAGACACGGAGTATCAATTTCCAGGTGGTGACAAAGGGTGACAGGAGCAAAAAGGATGAAGGATGAACAAGAGTAACGACTGATGCTCATTCCAGAATCGCTGTACAACTTAAATTTTTAGGGTATAGATTAATACAATGGTTACAGTATTGTCTAGATGGCTACACATGGTACTGTATTGTCGTTAATCAATCTATAAACTCTAACACAAAGTCGATACCAGTTACTACATGAGGCAAAAGATGAATATACATTTGAAATCTGAATAAAGAGAAGATCAGAAAGAGAAGACACTGTATTCTAGCTCCAAAGAGTGTAACAAAAAGAAACTCGTATCACAGTTTGGAACGCAAGATCATTGACAGATACTAGATCAGACAGGAGATGAACGCTTGAGGTTGGAAATCTGCATAGATAAAAGAGCAGAATGAAAATAGGTGGGGTCACAGAGGGATAGGAGGAAACCAAAGACGATTCTGACCTAACCTGTCTGCGTTTAAGTATCTACAAATACAAACTCGAGACAAACGGGATAAACCGAAGTTCATACCGCGACCAAGATGTCTGTCGATCAGGCCTAGGGGAAAAAGTTGGCTGTAACCCGTGTAGAATTCCGGAGTGGGCTTCTTGAACAATACTGGCTGGAGGTAATTACCCGTGGAAGTCGGAATCGTAAAAAGCAAGAATACAATGGGTAAGACGCAGCTTTCATTACAGCAAAACGTGATAGGAAAGCATAGGTAGATTGCCAGATTTTTCACGTGAAAAGAAGGAATCTCGCTGGAATTAACTGAGAAGAGGGAGCCAATGAAATGGTGTCAATTTAGGGGTATAGGCACCGAAACTTTCAGGGGTAAAGCCCGATTCACGCGCGCAATTACGATAACGAAATTAATCAAAATTAAACCAATTTTCAACAACTAAGACAAGAATATTAAAATCCAAATATATGTCAAACCCTGGAATAGTGTCAATCTAGGGGAAAATGAACTCGAGCTTCTGAAAGTAAAACCCGAATCACGCTTTTGTGATTATAGTAACAAAATTAATTAAAATTGAGTCAAACGAACACATTCTCTAACAATTGCAAGAGTAAAAGAGTAATCTAAATTGCAATCAGTGAAAAAGTTTTAATATATACACAATTGTGAAATGGTGTCAATATGGAGATAAATGAAATCGAGCTTACAGAGATAAGGCCCAAATCACACGAGTGATTGCAACAACAAAGTCAATCGAAATTAATTTAAATAATTAATTTAAACAATTAATCCCTAACGATTACTAAGAACTTTCGTTAATAAGACCAGAAAATATAAAATCCAAAATCAAAGTCAAATAAAATCAAAAATAAGTGTTGAAATTTAAAAATGTGAATCCAATTTCGTTTATTAAAATTCAGGATTAAAATTCAATTATTCACTTATACATCTGTGTGTACCTCTGTATAAAAATTCTAAATTAATTGTCCATGAATAATCCCTATTATGGCGAACGAAATTGCAGATGAAGTCAGCCGGACGACATGAAAGAAAGATGGCGGCCGGCACAAGGACTTGTATCGTGGTATCTGGCGTATTGATATTGGTGAAGAGATCTCGCTCATCGTGTAGAGGTAACCCGCGAAAACAATACGAATTGATCCAGTGGGTCAACGGCTGAACACTTAGCCGAATGGAAGCCTGTTAGGGGCGTTCGTGCGTGAAACAGAAGTGGAAGTGAGCATCGTCGCTGACTCAGCCATGCCAGTTGTACGCCTACCCGTGTGCCGCAGACGAAATCTGCATAACGTGGCGACAAGCGCCATCGACTTCATTATCCCCCTATCGATACGGGACTAATGAAACGCGTTCCTATTCCCTGTCTCAGAATTCGAGACCGTTACAACCTGATCGACGAATGAAAGTGAATGCACCCATCGCGAGAGTAGTGTCGAATGGAAATTAATTTCAACGAGCTTCGATGGGAATACAAGCATCCTCCTAACCTCAAATTCGGTGAAAAAACGAATATAATACATTATTAATAACATAAACGTCACACTCGATGATTTAACTCGATGTAAACTAGAGAAGTGCAGTTATAACAGTGCGAATATTCGGAGAATGTAATCGGTGTAATAAAAATTAACGCGTGTTGTAAATTGTGGTGATTAAAATAATTTCGAAAACTATGGAAATGTTTTTAGAGGTTATATAACAGAATTAATATATATCGGAGTTATTTATTAGGAAATAAATTAAAATAATTTAAAAGATAGACGAGATAAGTGTCCAAAGATTAGATACCGGTGTGTAAGGATTAAAGAGTGAGAGTATACGTTTATTAAACTAAGTGACCGAGTCGAAAATGCAGACCCTGGAGGTTTTCGTGAACTCCACGCCAGACCCGTGGAACATCACGTTATTGATGGAAAATTACACGTATTACAATAACACGAACACGACTGGTCTGCAGCAGAGGAATCAGTTCATATTACCATGGTGGAGACAAATGATATGGACGTTGTTGTTCGCTGGCATGATCATCGTGGCCACTGGTGGCAACCTGATTGTGATTTGGATCGTATTAGCTCACAAACGGATGCGCACGGTCACCAATTACTTCTTGGTAAACTTGAGCATTGCGGACGCGATGGTGTCCACGTTGAACGTCACGTTCAACTATATCTACATGCTGAACAGCCATTGGCCCTTTGGCACGCTCTATTGCAAGATATGCCAATTCGTCGCGGTGCTGACTATATGCGCCAGTGTCTTCACTCTGATGGCGATTTCCATTGACAGGTAAGTGACACTAGTGGATAGTAATGTTTATAGCTGTTCAGACTTCGGGTCATAGATTTAGTTGAAACTTTGCAGGTTTGTAGATTTAATCATCCAGTTCAAGAAAATATAATATCATTATAAGGACAACTACTCGATAGTTTTCGAGATATTTATGATCAGAGTTTTATTATTGCCTTAACCCTTTGAGTGCTGAATACTCGAGGTCTATGCAGTCAGTACCGACGGAATACTTTTTCGCTAGACTGAAGTCTGTTGATTAACTATTCAAGTAACAAGATTTGCGACTCTCCACGAAACAGGTAGTCTGTTATAACAAGACAATGTTTGCATTTGTTTAATGCTGTTACTAAGGAATGCATTTGTATTCAACTCACACAAAAGTAATTGTAATACTTCTATGTAGGTGATGGAAAAAATTCACAAACGCATATATGAATCTTCAATCCATGCCGGCAACTTAGACTAAACCCATATATGCGTCCTTAGTCCACACCGATAGCTTTCATCAGACGCATATATGCATCCATAGCGCTCAAAGGGTTAATACAGACTTATTTGGAATATTTATCAAGTCCTGTTGTGGCCTAATAGCGATATCCGAATATTCTGACGTGTTTTCTCTTTGAGTTCGAAGTGATTTCTGATTTGTTCTGACTGAGTTTTGTATGACGTCTGTGATGTCTCTTTGTGTTCTGTCTTCTGGTGTCTCAAATTTGTTTTGACTGGTTAAGAATGAATATGAGATAGTGGCGTAGAAATACAGTTTTTTGATTGGACGTGGGGTTTCGGAAGGAGGAGTGGGAGGGAAGTTGTCAAGGGATTTTCTTTTCCTTTGATTGTTTTGGTCGTCACTATCGATTTATGAGTATAGTAGAGGTTCATTTGTCGCTTCGGTGGGTCAGTCACACGTGAGGCCCAAATATCTATTGGGTCTGGTTATATAGTTTCTACCGTAAGTCTATGCTTTTGTATTTTTAATTATACTACTGCTGAAGGGGGGGTTGTGGTTTGTTGTTCGCCCCCACGGTTGTTTAAAAGATCATGGGTCACAAAGGTTATCCTAGTGGTGCAGAAGGGACTGTAAAGGAAAAGGAAGGGATGCAGCAAGCATTTCCGTCTCGGGCCTGTTAGTGGACTCATCACAGTAATGTTACCTTAGCAGGCCTCGCCATAGACCGAGATAGTATTGGAAGATCGGGAAGTTATATATATAGGAAGCGGAGGCTTTCCAAGTACTTGCGAGAAAGTCCTCGAACCTCCTCGAGTCGGAATCCATCTAGTGGCGAGAGTATGAATGATAATCGCTACATTGCTTAATCCACTAAAAGGCACGTCCAACCTTCGGTATTGTCGTCGCAATAATTAGTATTATCGCGAATCATATTGTCATAGATAATTAAATATACGAGATAGTTAATATAATTTAATTTATGTAAACAGATCGGAATAAAAATTTTTCATACCTAAATTTCTTATTACATTTTGAAAGAACATTTTTTAGCAGAATTGTTTCTAACTTTTATTTGAAGAATTTAGTATAATGTGATACGTAGTATTTGATATTTATAGGTATTTATCTGCTTGCGCGATTATCCATTTCATTGGATATCTGAATAAAATGAATAATGGACGAGTTCGATTGGAACTTAAATTTCGAGCAATATGAACGAACTAACCATCCAGTAATAAATCAGTCAAACGCCCACCCAACTCATTTCCACCTCTCTTCTCTCATTTCCGGGTCTTCCCACAACCTTTCGGTTGCCAGCAACTTCCACCCTTGCCTTCTCCTTCTGGAAATTTTGGTCAACACCCGATATATAACCTACCAGGATTTTCACCTCTGCCTGTTCATTCCCTACGTGTGTGACCGATTGGCAAGACCTGTCATGTTCATTTATTCTACTGAATCTGAATATTCGACAGTGGATATATAATTTATATCAGAATTCAAATTTTGGAGAATAAATTTTCGTCATACATGTCAATAATTTTGCCGTATTTATTGGTAGTGGATTTTGAACATAATCAACATAGTGAATTATATACCAATATGTATATTATATATTGTCAGATTCTTTATTATAAATTTATTATTCTATTTACTATATTACCCTATCTATTATAAATTTATTACTCTATTTACTATATTACTCTATCTATTATAAATTTATTACTCTATTTACTATATTACTCTGTCTATTATAAATTTATTGCTCTTATCTATATATAAAGTTCACTGATGATTTAAATTCTATAGCTATTCTGGAATGATCAAAGGTGCAATCAATTATAGCTGGAGATATTAACAATTGACAATACATTACTGAGTATAGCCATCAACACAGTTCTACAGCCATTGTATTAACCTATTCTCTGATGTATATTATATTGCAATTCTAGAATTACCAATGGATAGATCAATTATCGCTAGAGATATTGACAATTGAAAATACTGTACTGAGTATAGCAATCTACACAGTACTATAGCCAGTGGATTAACCCTTCGCACTCGAGAGGTGACTCTCAGTCACCATTTAATCAGATTCTAAAGATCGACATTAATTAATATATGAAATTTAAAATTACCTAACGTTGTGTGGAATATCGAAGAAAAATGATTCTACGTCTTATTTGCATATGATTTCTCATTTACCATTTTAAAAATATCGTCGACTCTATGAAGAAATTTAAAATTACCTAACGTTGTGTGGAATATCGAAGAAAAATAATTCTACGTCTTATTTGCATATGATTTCTCATTTACCATTTTAAAAATATCGTCGACTCTATGACAGAAAGTCTTCGAATTACTATTTTTCTGTAACGAAAAAGTCGTCGAGTGCAAAGGGTTAATCTATTTGCTGATCGTCTAAGTTCTACAGCAATTCTAGAAAGATCAATAGACAGATCAATTATCGCCTATATTGTAAGTAAATGAAGTCAATTATGAATTAGTGATAATAAATTATACATACTGAAGTAATAGAATTATGTGTAGAAGTATATATTGAATTGCATACTATATGTTATGACATATAGTGAATTTGATAAGTAATGAGTTGTGTACTATTATTATCACCTATAGTGAATTGAGTATTAGTGAATATAGTAAATTTTATGTATGGTATATTACATCTATATTAAATTTAGAACTACATACTGAATTTTTTGCTATTCGTTACCATTTACAGTGAGTTTAATACTTCACCAAATTATTTTAAATTCATTGGAAGATTTACAAGTGTAACACCCCCTCGTAGTATTAACCCTTTGTACTCGAGAGGCGCCTCTCAGTCACCATTTAATCAAATTCCAACGATGAACATTAATTGATATATCAAATTTACAATTACCTAACGATGCGTGGAATATCAAAGTAAAATAATTCTACGTCTTAATTTCTATACGATTTCTTATTTATCGTTTTAAAATTATCGCCGACTTTATGGCAGAAAGTCTTCGAATTACTTTTTTCCTGTAACGAAAAAATTGTCGAGTACAAAGGGTTTAGTTGTCACGATAACACTGAAATTCGTGAGACTATAGAAGTATACGTGAAGCAATGCATCTGCAAATTATTATGATACACAGATAATATGAGAGAGGAAAAATAATTTCTTAAAATATCGTTTTTTGGAAAATTCTGTTAAATTGACAAATTCTGTTTTGGAAGATTATTCGTACAGCAACTCCATGGAGAATGAAACTTCTCTGCTTCCTATAACGTCAGTCTCTTGTCCTTTAAGCTGACACGCTTTTAGGGATACAGGAAGCAGGAAATCGATTTCATGGAAAGAAATTCTTTATACCTTTGATCTCGTATATTTTCCAATCTTGTTTACCATGTGCATAGACATTATTACGAGATAAAGAATGGAAACCTCGTTAAACGATATGAATAGATGAAATTGCAAATCGACAATTAGCTATGTCAAAAAAATAATAGAGTATCGCAGTATAATTTAATTTATCGCAGAATAATTTAAATTTAAAATAGACAGTAGAAGTTAAAAAATATAGGACATCTTTTATTTACAAAAAATAAAGTAAAATCTCGATTATATTTTTTAAAATATACTACAAATTATAATTCTTTCAGTGTATATATTTATTTATAAATGTCGTATATATCGTACAATGTTTGCAAAATAAAAATAAACAGCAGAAATTGATTTTAATTTAAATTAGGATTAATTCTGAGCTAAAAAGTTTTGAAAATATATTAGAATTTACTGTTCTTTTATTTAGTACATGATAAATTTATTTAGTATATGATAAAATGTTTAAACTAATAATAATTTTAATAATTATTAATAAATAATAAAATGGTTAGAATATTTGTAATATAATATTTATTGAACAAAGCAGAAATAAAAGAAATTCAATTTTGTCAATCAAAATACGTGAGAATTTTTGCTAACATCTTTTTGGCACGTTCTAAAAGAAGAGATGATATTTTTGAATTAAGTCTTTTGTATTGCTAGCAGGATTATTCATTGATCCTGACGATACATTTAGAAATTTCGTGTCCATTATACTCGATAGTCGTAAATAGTAAAGTAGAGGAATTCACGAAACGTCAATTTGAGGCTTAAGACATAACACCCTCAGATTTAGAAACATTTTCTACAAATTTGTCAAAAATCGCTCAAAACCTCGCTCAAAACCCTTATCTACACTTGCTGACAAAAGTTAAGGGACAAAATAATTATTGGCGAATTTTTCTGTATTTTTAATTTTTGAAATAAATAAACTAAAATTACAATAATTTCATTAAAATTAAATATCTAGGCATCTTCCACATTCGAATTAAATTTTCAGTACTATCTTTATAACATCTACGTCTTCAATGAGAAAATAATCGATATGGCAATTTTTAAAATACATTTTATGATTGTATCGTTACAAATTGCATATAAATATTACAGTGTAAAATTATAAAGATCCGTTTCATTTTTGGATTACGAACACGGTTGAAAATGCAGATGGAAAAA